TTATCCTAAGGCAGGGCTTGCTAACCTCCGGACCCCTGAGGGTGTCTAGCAGGGCAAGCAGAGCCCGGTGGAGCCACAAACAGCCACAGAGCTCAATGACAAAGAAGGGAAACTGAAGAGGAAGAAAAAGGGGAGAAAGAAAGATGAACAGCAGAGAAAAGAGGAGGAGGGATAGAGGAGCCATATGGGGAGAGAAGACAAAGAGGCTCTCACGGGTTCTCTGGGATGCTGGCCCAAATTTGGAAGAATGTTCCACGTGGTCACTTGAATGGGCATGAGCTGCTTTTGGGTTAACACATGCAGCAAAGCCAGAAAAGCACTCACTGTCTGCTCACTCTTACTCTCCCAGGCCCAGGTCACAGGAAGCAAGCAAAGAGTGGTGACCTGTCAGTCACGGAAAGGACCTCGGAGAACATGTATGCTTCTCGGTGGGGCACTGCTAACATCTGGAACGGTTCTCTACTGGGCAGGGCAGTCCTGGGCTTCACAAGACCTTTACCATCCCTGGCCCCTGGGCCCTAATAGGAGCTTCCTCACTTACTGAGAAGAGAGAAGCAGAGATTTCCCCCTCCCGCTGCATTTCGACTTCTCCTCTCCCAGAGCTGACCCTGGTTGAGAACCTGTGATCACCCCACAGTGAAGAACTGCAAGGGGACTGGGACTCGGGACTGGAAAGACATTGGTTGATATTCACAGAGAGCCTTTGAAACATGAATCTCTTTAAGAAGCACGGAGCGGGGAGCAGACTGTTCTGTGTAGTAGGTGCTTTAATCACTCCTAGGGGAGCAGAGTGTGAGGAGGGACCCGTGGGAGGGGGGTCCTCATTTCCCTCTTGAAAATTGTTCTCAGCTGACGCTCGCATAGTCATCACCACTCGCCCTCCCACTCAGCTGACTCTTATCAACCCACTGACACTGATCCTCCTTTCTAAAGGGAGTATTTAGACAAGTGCAAAAGTGGAGAGGAATTCAGGGCTGCAAGTAGCTCCAGCTGGAGGGAGGGGGTGGCTGGGATCTCATGCCACTAAAATTATCCACACACAGAAAGGGCCTGGGACCCCACAGCTGATGGGCCTCTGGCCTGTTATGGTAATTTTCTACCCTTTGGACCCCTCTCGAGCTTGCTTATGACACCCAACACATTTAGAAATGACTTGATGACCTTAGGTAATGCTGAAATAATAGCACAGTCAACGGAGTCACCAAACCCTTCCTAATCCTGGTCATCTTACAATAGCATTCTCAGAGTTTGTGGAGTTACCGGGTCATGATCATATTTGTCACTTTCTTGTTTCCTTGTCAAAAGCAAGGCTACCTGGAAAAAATCCCACTCGGTGAAGGCCCTGGGAGGAAGCTGAGAGCTGCTTTTCTCCACACATGCCTCTAGTATCCTGGGTTCTAGTGTGTCACAATGGCGGGAGCGGACATCGGGAAGGGAGGGCAGGGTTTGGTGCTTCGGTTCTTCTTGTGGCCCCTACCTCTCACAGCCCTTTTTATTCCTATCTCCAGTGTCTCTTTTCCCTCTCCTCATGTGCGGAAGCCCCCATAATCCTTACTCCAGCCCTATTAACTCAGAAGTCAAGGTTGAGGAGGAATTCAGGAGAGGATCTTCCCTTCTCGTACACCTCAATCCACTTTAAACCTCAGCTGAGATACTGTCTTCTCCCAACCTCAAAAGCACCAGGAAAAGAGAAAAGCAGTGGGAAGTGCTTCTGCCTCCAACAAGAACCGTGATCGTACTGGATTTGCTCAGGTGAGACTGTCCACAGGCACCCACAGGCCACCTGGGCTCCCCAGATCAGAAGTGTGACGCGGTGCCCCAAGCCTACAGAACACAGCCATCAGACTGCCGCAGTGAGGGCAAAGCTATCTCCTGGTGTCAAGGCCCACTCACCCTCTCCCTTTTTGCCCTCCTGGCACATCACAGTGGGGCTGGAAACGGGGGGAGAAAGACCAGGGAAGGGAGTCCTCTGCTCCAAGGTGACCCCAGTTGTGGGAAAGATTGTGGCCCACTAGACGGAATTTGGGAAGGAGGACTCCTGGGAATCAGTGCTCTGCCCTGGAGAAAGGGCTATGGGGCAGGGGCCTGAGTCGGGGATGCTGAGGCTGGCTGCAGCCACCTTCACCTTTTTCTAAATGATTTCACTGAGCCAGGAGCTATCACCTCTGTGCTCCGGGGGCTTCCCCCACTGGGGCTGGGATCAGCTTCCGGGCCTGGAGGGAGGAGAATAGTGGAGGAGAATCCCCTTCTCCCTGCAGGTCTTCCTTCCTAGCCTCAATTGAGCACTCCTTTCCCCTGGTCTTTCTCCCCATTCCCAGCGCACTCTGATGCGCCTGAAGGCAGGAGGGGAGAAGGCGAGCAGCAGGCACTGACACCAGGAGGTAGCTTGGCCCTCCCTGCAGCCACGTGACAGCCATGCTCTGCAGGCACAGGGACCACATCACACTCCTGACCCATCCTCTTGCTGACTGTTCCTTCCCCACCTCCTGTTCTGGCTCTTGTTCCTCGGGCCTCCTTGGGACCTTGTCATCACTTCTTTTTCTCTCTTCTTTCTGTTCTTGCAGACTTAGCCAGTTGTTGTTCCAACTGTCACTTCTAACTAGATGGCCCTAACATGACCTTTACCCTCACTTCCTCAAACTCCAGATCTGCATTTTTAGCAACTCCCTGTGGGCACCTAGGACACACCTCCAATTCCACCAACCAGACTCAAACTCTCCTTCTTCAACGTTTCTCAAACAACCACCACCCCCTTTCTGACTTCTGACATCATCCTATCCCTGCAGTTTTTTGTTTGTTTGTTTGTTTGTTTAGTTGGAGACTCAACTAAACAAACACTCACAGCCACCCCAGCGTCGTTGACCTGCTGGGCTCCAGTGATCCTTCTGCCTCAGCCTTCCAAGGACCCGGAACTACAGGCACGTGCCACCACACCCGGCTAATTTTTTTTTTTAAATTGTAGAGACGAGGTCTCGCCAAGTTGCCAGGGCTGGTCTCAAACCTGCGGGCTGAGGCAATCCACTTGCCTCAGCCTCCCAAAGTGCTGGGATTACAGGCTGAACCACCAAGTCAGGTTTTGTCCCTTCAGTTTCTAAGATTTTTACAACCCCCAGGCAATCGGGGTATCTTTTCCTGGTTAAAAACTGAACATGCTCCTAACTGTGAAGTCTCTGTGTACCCAAGTAAAATTGGATCCACCAGGAATCATTTCAAAACCCATAGCTGCCATTCTGTGCATGAATCCACTGCCAGGCAGAGTGCTTAGGCTTTCATGGACAACAGACTCCAGAGTCTGGAGGGAAGAGCAGCCTTAGTGACTTCTGAGCACTTGCTGAAGATTGGGCATTCCTAAGGGAATGACTCAGTTCTCTTTGGGCAGAAAGGAGAATAAATCAGATAAAAGGGTGTCCTTCCCTGCCTTATGAGCAACTTCCTATGGCTGGGTCACTCACTCTATGCTAAGTGACCCTCCGGAAGGGTTTATATGTTCATAGTCCTCTGAGACAACTGCTGCTTTGTGCAATGACAGCAATTAATTATGTTGGAATCAGAGAGAGAGAGAGAGAGAAGGTCAGGGTGAGGGTGAGGGTCAGGGCCAAAGGTCAAGGGCGGTGGGCAGCATAGGGGGCAGGACTGGGGTCAGAAGGCCATGTGTGAAGTCTGAAGCCATCCTGCTCTCTACAAGGACAAACCATTCTGACCTCCAGCCTGTCTTGCTGTCTTACCTCCCCACATCTCCCTTTTCCAACCTTGATACCAGCCATTTTAGCTGAGGTCTTTGGGGCTGTGCATGCTGAACCCTGGGATTGGCAGTGGGATGTAGAATAGGGAAAAGTAAGGGACCTTCTTTGGAACTGGAAATACTTTGTTCTGTCTTGTTCTTCCAAAAAAACTGGCACCCCCTTCCTTCCCGCTGTCACCACTATCTCCCCAGAGTCAGGAAACCTGGGTTCTAGCCCCAGTTCCCTCACTGACCAGCTATGGGACTTAGTACAAGAGAACAAACCCTTTTTGTGTTCTAGTTTCTTCATCTGAAAATGAAAACTGTAAAACATTTCCTGCTTACTCTGATAATAAAATGCTTTTGTAAAAGCAGTTCACTATTAGCAAGTCACTCTCATTACATGATCTAATCAGATCTTTACAACAGCTGTGTCAGATGGACAGGAAAGCATTTTTATACTCTCTTACGGATGAGGAAACTCAGGCTCCCTGAGGACGAAGGATTTGCCCAGCAGCTGCACAGCTAACATGCAGCAGAGCAGGGATTCAACCAAGCCCCCTGGGCGCTGTCCCAGCATGACAGGAGGCTCGGGTGACACAGTACACTGCTATGATTAAGAAAAGTAGTATTTTCCCAGCATGGTTATAGCTCAAAGATTTGCCAGTGAATTATCACTGGCTACTTTGGACACCCTCAGCATCTCCAATCTGTCATTTCTTAAGTGGGTCATTTTGACCTAAGAAGTAGGTGTAGAATTGCTAACCTCAGGGCTAAAAACAGGGGAGGGTAGAGTCACTCAAGGAAGAGGATGTCTGTGGGTGTTTCTGATGCCACCATCCACTGATGGCGACCACACTTTCTGCTGGGCACAGAGGACTACAGAATTTTAAGAAAGCTCATAAATTCTAACAATCTCATTTTATCATGAGAAAACTCATGGGTTACAAGGACATGCCCAAGGTCACACAGTCCTAAAGCAGAGCTGGGCCAGACCCAAGTTTCCTAATTCTAAGTGCAGTGCTCTTTCCATGCTGCCTGGATTTTGGGCTGTTCATCTCATTCTGCCTGGGACTCACCCCTCCATGTGTGTGTGCAACTGACAGTAGAGAAGTAGCACTGGGGGTGATGCACAGAGATGTCCCTGAATGAGGGACGGTCCTCTTGGAAATCACTGGTTCAAGTGCCAGGACCAAGACACTGCTTTGCCCGCATGGGCCGGGACGACCCCACAGATGTGTGTTTTGGGCTTTTGAGTCAGGGAAGAGGAAACACTCACGATTTGTCTCGCCTGCCGAGCCTTCTCGGGGGGCTTGCTTGTCTCCTTCTGGGAGACAGGGATTTTCCCCGGCTTCTCACTTGGGTCGGAGAGTGGGCACTTGCAGGTTTCAGGATCTGGAAGCAGACATGAGGAGTTAACCACACGGGTTCCTAAAGGACCCCCACCCTTCCATCTTCCTACAGCACAGCAGCCCATTCCCCCACCCCAGAATGACGTCACAATTTAGACAGCATGGAGCAGGAAGAAAGGAGGAGGTAGGAGACACACACGTTTTCCTTTCATTCTGTACTGGCAAAAAGCAAGGCTACCATTTCCCAGGGTGTGATACAGATGAACACATCGTGCTCTTTTCCATGGCAGAGAGAGAAACAGCCGAATGACGGTTTCCTGGGGCTGTGTTTGGTTGTTTGGCAAGTTCCTCTCTTCGTGAAGTCAAAGTCCCATCTACATCGCCCCAGAAACCAGCTTGTTCTTCCTCTGATTTTCCCATCCCACACACAACAGAGTGGCTTCAATTTATCAAGAATCTCCACTCCAGGTCCCGCAGAGTGAAGGTGACAAGTCTGCAGGTGCTAAACCTAACCAAGCCTGAAGTCAGCACAGTCCCTTTCCCCTGTGATCCACTGCATGCACAGGATTTCTCTTAGAGAAGCCACAAGCCCTGGAGGGACACGGACAAGCGGGCATCATGTCACTTTGAAAGTAAAACTGGTAGAGGGAAGAAGGGCTTATGAGTATAGTCTATAGAAGGCCACAGCAAGTGCTCCTTACTGCTCTTGTGATACCCGGTTAGAATCATATGCTCAAGGGCTTTTGCAACTTACGAGGGTGGACCAAAAAAACCCGGAATTATTTTTTGAACGGCAGTCCCCTTGTAGTGCAGGCTTCTCCCTCTAGGTAAGTGTCCTAGGAACCCATCAGCAATCAGTGTACCAGCTAGTGTTGTTGTGAGAGGCCGCATTTGGCTTCAGTGAATTTTCTGGGAGACTCTTTCAATGCATTTGCCCATTTTATGGCAGTTGATTTATGAGCGTACCTAGCCACACCGCACTGAGTGTTCAGCAGTTCTTTTACCAAAAATGGCATGATCTTGCCTCGATCAACTTCTTTTGTTTCCCTGATGAAAAAGGTCCTCAAAGAGAAACATTTTGCCCATGTGGAAGAGGTGAAAAAAAAACAGCAGAAGCTCTAAAAGGCATCAAAACTGACACATTCAAAAACTGTTCTGAGTAGTGGAAAAAGCATCTTGATAGGTGTATTGCATCAAACAGAGAGTACTTTGAAGGTAACTGAAGTTTAAGCATGTAAAAATAAATACATGAATTTTTATAAACAAATTCTGGTGGATCAGCCTGTAATCCGGCGCCTTTGGGAGGTTGAGGTGAGTGGATTGCCTGAGTCCGCGGGTTCGAGACCCGCCTGGGCAAGCGAGGCCTCATCTCTACAATAAATCAAACAAATTAGCCGGGCTTGGTAGTGTGCACCTGTAGTTCCAGCTACTTGGAAGGCTGAGGCGGAAGGATTGCCGGAGCCCAGCAGGTCGAGGCTGCGGTGGCCAGGAGCGGCCACTGCACTCCAGTCTGGGCGACAGTGAGACTCCAACTCAAAAAATAAAAAAAAAAATTCTGGGCTTTTTTGGGTCCCCCCGTATAAGGCAAAGTGGAGGTATAATATGACTCTGAAATAGATTATAAAGCAGAATAAGGCAGGGTATGGTGGCTCCTGCCTGTAATCCCAGCACTTTGGGAGACTGAGGCAGGCAGATTGCTTGAGTCCAAGAGTTTAAGACCAGCCTGGACAACATAGGGAGACCTCATCTATAAAAATAAAAAATAAAAAAATTAGCCAGTCACGGTGGCGTGAGCCTGTAGTCCCAGCAACTTGGGAAGCTGAGATGGAAGGATGGCCTGAACCTAGGAGGATAAGACTGCTGTGAGCCATGATTGTCATGATCATGCCACTGCACTTCAGCCTGGCTGACAGAGTGAGACCCCAATTCTAAATAAATAAATAAACAAGCAAGCAAAATAAAGCAGAATGACCAATGGTTTTCATGGGTCTTTCCTGGTTTTAGTACCGAAAATCCCATGTCCTCAGAAAACCCTCAGTTCTGGGCAGACTAGATCAATTGGTCACCCTATTATAATGACAAAACAGAACAAAACTAGAGCTTCAGTATCAAGTGACTAACTTTTTGTTGTTGTTGTTGTTGTTGTTGGAGTCTCACTCTGTTGCCCAGAGTGGATTGCAGTGGCACGATCTCTGCCACCACAGCCTCAACCTGCTGGGCTCAGGCGATCCTTCTGCCTCGGACTTCCAAGTAGCTGGGACTACAGGCACGTGGCACTGCAGCCAGCGAATTTTTTTTAGAGACAAGGTCTCACCACATTGCCTAGGCTGGTCTCAAACTCCTGAGCTCAGGAAATCCTCTAGTCTCAGTCTATCGAAGTGCTAAGATTACAGGTGTGAGCCACCACACCCGGCTACATTTTAGATCTGGTTTCATAGAAGGAATTGCTGGCTAAGATATTGCTTGGCCTGTAACATCTAAATTGATTCAGCTCCTTTTTTTTTCTTTTTGAACCTGGGCCTCGCTCTGTCGCCTGAACTAGAGTACAGGGCATGATCACAGCTCATTGTACTCTCAACTATCCTAGAGTCAGATGATCCTTCCACCTCAACCTCCCAAGTAGCTGGGTCTGCAGGTGTACACCACCATGCCTGGCTAAATTTTTAATTTTTTTTTTTTTTTTTTGTAGAGACGAGGTATTACTATGTTGTCTAGACTGGTCTCAAACTCCTGGACTCAAGCAATCTTCCCTTCTTGGCCTCCCAAAGTGCTGGGATTACAGGCATGAACCACCACGCCTGGCCTGCTTTTTGAATATGTGCTAAGAGATACTTTAACCTCATGAAACTTTTGACCATTCTAGAAACATGGGGCCTGGAGCAAGACAGAGAGAGGGAAAAAAATGGGAGAAGAGTTCTCCTGTATGGCTCACTTGTCTTCCCAGTACCTACCTTCATCCTCATGTCCCTGGCATATTTCTCCAGCTCCTTCCTTATATCAGCCCTCAGCATCTTGGAAACGTTGAGGACTAGTTGCTTCCACTCAATAGGTTGGAAGCTATGAGGCTCATGGGGGACGTACAGCCCAATCTTGACCTTTTTGACTGTGTGCAGGTATTTCTTGTAGGAGTCTTCAAAGTCAAAGATGAGGTCACTCAGAGTCCGAAAGGTCAATGGCTTGTCCATCAGCTCAGCCCTTCGGCTCATGCCCAGTGAGCCGTAGCGGCCATTGCAATAAATCCCCAGCACGACATGGTGAAAGTAGTTTCCTGAGAAGTAGGTTTTAAAGCTGATGGGGAACCGCTCGATGGAAGGCTGTCCATTGGTTAAGTATCTTAGACAATCTGAGTCAAGGAAGAGAAAGGAGACTTTGAACATACAGACCCTGGTTGCCAGGAAGGGAAAGTATCTCACAGGGTCAGTGAGTCTATCCCCCTGCCTCTCAGCAGGACTACACCTAACTTTTCCAGACTAATTCTTTTATAAAGGATTCACTTGGCATCTTTGACTATCTACTATGTGGAACATAGCAAAGTCTAATCAACAGGGGACAAACAGAAAAACTTGTCATTTTCTTCAGTAATTACATAAATGCAAAACAAAACAATGACAAGGCATTTTTGCCTCCGTGCCGAGACTCACACGGGCTGCACCCCATCCTGGAACAACCTCACTACGATGCCTTCCCTATTGCTGGCATCATGCCTCCCCTGACTTTCCTCATCCTAGCTTAGGTATCCCAACCCCCCAGTCCCCTCTATAAGAACCCCCATAGCACTTGGTGCTTGCTTATCCTGTATTATGATGGTTTGTATCTTATGAGCATTGTGTCTCATATCCTTGTATCCCCTGGACATAGTACAGGCCTGGTACACGAAAGGATTTGTTTAATGCTTGCTGAAAGAATGAACCTCAGATTTTAAGGATATGCTTCCTTATGCTTAAAAGGACAGCACTCAGTGAATTAGCACTAGGGTGCTAATCCAGGTACCTGAAAAGAGGGATACTGATAGAGCCCTGCCCACAACCCTGACGATGGCCTTGTCTTCTGCCCCAAGTTTAATCACAGATGACTTCTCTCTATAAAAATGTTTATCTGCTTTTTCTTCACTTAATCACGTGAGAGCAACTGGCAGTTAGGGAGTGAAACTATATCCTTCTGAGTCCTCTTCCATAAATTCTTGCCAGCTTTCGGGGGCAAATTCTCTGGGGCTGGAATAAGGGCATTCCTTAGTCATTTAAGTCAGTGTAACAGACACTTATTGGTGAGTGTCTTCTGTGCCAGATAGCCTGCTAGGTAGGGCTGTGGAGCCCAAGATAAGATGCAGCCCTCCTCTGGAAGTCTGGTGGGAGACAGACTCAAAATGCACACGATGTAATCAGTATGGAGGTTCCTCAAATAATTACATAAAATCGCCACATGATCCAGCAATTTCATTTCTGGAAATACCCAGAAGAACTGAAAGCAAGGACTCCAACAGATATTTGTACACTCATGTTCTTAGCAGCATTATTCACTATAGCCAAAGGTAGAACAACCCAAATATCCATCCATAGATGAATGAGCAAAATGTAGTACATATATGATAGAATATTATTCAACCTTATAAAGTAAGGAAGTCCTGCAATATGCTACAACATGGATGAACCTTGAAGACGTTATGCTAACTGAAATAAGACAGATACAAAAGGGCAGATATTGTAGGATTCCACTTCTCTTAGGTACCTAGAATAGACCAATTCATAGAAACAGAAAATAGAATGATGAGCCGGGCTCGGTGGCTCAGCCTGTAATCCCGCACCTTTGGGAGGCTGAGGTGAGTGGATTGCCTGAGCCCGCGGGTTCGAAACCCGCCTGGGTAGTGAGACCTCATCTCTACAATAAATAAAAAAATCAGCCGGGTGTGGTAGCGCATGCCTGTAATTCCAGCTACTTGGAAGGCTGAGGCGGAAGGATTGCCGGAACCCAGCAGGTCAAGGCTGCGCTGGCCGGGAGCGGCCACTGCACTCCACTCTGGGCGAGAGTGAGACTCCAACTCAAAAAAAGAAAAAAGAAAAAGAAAATAGAATGGTGGTTGCCAGCAGCTGGGAGGAGGAAATGGGGAGTATTGTTTAATGGTCTAGAGTTTCAGTTGGGGAAGGTGAACAAGTTCTGGAGATGGATAGTGGTCACGCTGCACAGCATTATGAATGTACTTAATGTCACTGAACTCTGCACTTAAAAATGGTTAGAATGATAAATTATATGTTGTGAATATTTTACCTCAATAAAACCAAAACCAGCCAGGTGTGGTGGTTCATATCTGTAATCCCAGCACTTTGGGAGCCAATGTGGGAGGATTGCTTGAGGCAAGGAATTTGCAACAAAGTGAGATTCTGTCTCTACAAAAATTAGCTGGGCATGGTGGTGCATGCCTGTAGTCCCAGCTACTTGAGAGGCTGAGGCAAGAGGACTACTTGAGCCTAGGACTTTGAGGCTGCAGTGGGCCATAATTGTGCCGATGCACTCCAGCCTGGGTGACAGAGTAACACTGTTTCAAAGAATATAAATAAAAAACAGGCCAGGCTCAGTGATTCAGCCTGTAATCCCAGCACTTTGGGACGCAAAGGTGAGTGGATTGCCTGAGTCTGTGGGTTCGAGACCAACCCAGGCAACTTGGTGAGACCTCTTCTCTACAATAAATAAAAAATTAGCTGGGTGTGGTAGCGCACACCTGTAGTTCTGGCTCTTTGGAAGACTGAGGCGGAAGGATCGCTGGAGCCCAGTAGGTCTATGCTGGCATGGCCATGAGAGTGCCACTGCACTCTAGCCTGGGCAACAGAGTGAGACTCCACCTCAAATAAATAATGAAAAGTTGAAAAAAGACAAAATCAGAACACAATGTGATCATGTGTGCCATAAGAGAGGCAGGCCCAGCAATCTCTGGGCAAACAGAGGAAGAGCTTTGGTGTGGCAACCCTGGAATTAGTCTTAGGACAAGTTGAGTCAGCCAGATGGAGAAGTGGGAGTGGGGAGGAGAAAGGAGGGAGCACCAGTCCATCGTGTCATGAGTCATTGGTCTTTAAGATTAGTTCCATCATTATGTCAATCAGCAAAGCCTTGGGACCTGCAGCAACTGGGACTGGAGCAGAAGGGATTGAGGAAGGAGGGATGAGAGCAGGGGAATGGCCTGAACTTTTCCAGGAAGGGGAAGCAGCAGTATTTCCAGCTCTGGCATCCAGCTTCCTGGGGCTATACCTAACCTACCTCTCACAGTGACCCTGATATTTTAATAAATCATACTTTAGTACCATGAGCAAGCCCCACTAAGGTCAGCAAGGCCCACCAAAACACTTGCCATAATTCAGAAGATACTTTGGAACCAAAGATCTACCTAACCAGCATGCATGTAAAAGTGAGCACTATCTCTAAGCAAGATACAAAGAAGTGGCTCCTCACTAATGAATCCTGAACTCTGGGCTAAAGTCAAAAAAGAGAAAACAAGGAAAGGCGGGCCAAAGGACATCGGCCTCCAAGCAGCCAAGTCAACCAGTTTCAAAGTTGTCAAGGCACCTCTTGTTTCCCCAGACCTGCAGAGAGGCCTGTGGGAGACACAGACAGAGGACCCCAGTCATCTCCTTCACTGTCCCCAAGTGAAAAGCAGGACCCAGGGATGCTGACACAGAGCAAAGAGAAAAGACAAAGATGCTGTAGTTTTTAGAATTCAGGTCCATGGTTCTCATCTCTGTGCAAGAGTCAAATTTCCCTGAGTTCAGCAGTGTGAACTGAATCTCTCTACCCTCCCCAACTTCACTGCAGTCTTCTGAAATGTCACACGGATAAGAACAAAGGAAAACTAAGATCACACTATTTCTGATTTGGAGGAGCCCACAGTCTGGCCTTGGGTCTATCCCCCACAATTCCAAAAGACAGTAGGTGATTCTGGCAACATGATGCTAGGATGGCATACAATTGTGTAGGGATAAGACTATCACATAAACAAGTCGACCTAAATCCAGGTGCATGCAGACAGCCCCAGCAGAGTCTGAGGTAAGATTGTGCACCCTGTGAAGGGCCTGAGCTTGTGTTCTCCTTCATTAATCTCCACCAGCAAATCCCCAGACAATTGTTTGCACCCATTAAACTTGCAGGAGGCCCCGCTGAGCAGCTGTGGCTGACTCCTGCCACTAAAGAGTTGGGGCCCCAAAGCCATCTGCTGCCTCCACCTCCAGTCCTTGCCTCCTGCTGGGCTCCCCAGGCACATGTTTCATTTTATTTGTGGGGAGCAAAGAGGAGGATGATAAAAGGTCGGCAGGGGCCTCTTTAAGGCTCAAGTTTCTATTTTTCAAATGTCAGCCAAGGCACCTGTGGACATTCTTGTTTCAGATCAGGCAAGTGCTCCACACACTGCAGAGAGGCCCAGAAATTCCCCTTCCCACAAATGTCCAGGAGACCAAGAAAACCAACTAGACCAGTTCTACTATCTGTCTTCAGTATAATTCTGAAGCATGTGTCCTGATGTCTTCTGTATCTCCCATCGCTCCTGTTTCTCCATCCATCTCTCTGACCTCCCTTAAGCCTCTCTCATGGCCTCTTTGTATCCCAACCAGACCAAAAAACTTTGGGATCTCATCCTTGATCTTTTTCTCCTCTCACTTCTTGAATAGCAACCACGACCTCCTAAACCGGGGGTCCTCAAACTACGGCCCACGGGCCACATGCAGCCCGCCGAGGACATTTATCCGGCCCACCAGGTGTTTTT